ATTTGAAAATGTGGGCTTCGAATAAAGAGTATCAGATCTAGCATTGAAGCACAACGAGGAGAAACATAATTTCATGATGTCGTTCTCGTTCGCATACAAAGGTTTCTTGGATGTCCCACGTTTTGAAATTAGTCCCCATTTTTTTTTATCTACTTTTATATGGCCACTTTCGTTGACCGACATGACTGCACAGTCCATTCCCGGCGAAAGATTGAAATTGTCTACAATAGGAATGCTCTTCGACGTTGTTGATAGGGTTGAGGAGTCTGGTTGGTATGATGACGAACAGAAATCTTTAGCAGCAATCTGGGCTGCATGGATTGTCTGGGCTGCTCTTCCACACATATTTCTATTTTTATTCGTAACGTAGCTTCTAACTCTGTTTGCTAGGAATTGTGATAGATCAGCCCATTGATCAGGCATTGTTTTTGGAAGAGCAACATATTTGACGATCCAAATTGGTCAGTCTTTTTAGATTGTCGTCACGTCCGACGAGCAACATGATGCAAATCGTTTCGCATTTACTACGAGTTTCATAACAATTGCACGCAGTCTTGCCCAGAGAGCAAGAAATTTTATTTTAAGTTAGAACTTCAGGTAGAAAGTCTACTGAGTTCTACTGAGCTAGTTTTTGGATGGCATTCATGATTGAAAGGCCAGGATTCATGATTGAATCACCTTGAACCATTTTGTTTTGTTTTGAGGGGAATCAATTTGGTCATTCAGTCATTTTAAAAAACTAGCTCAGTAGAACCTGGTACATGATGTACGAGCAAAAGTTTATAACTTCAAATTAAAACTTTTTGCTCTCTGGGCAAGACGCGTGCAATTGTTATGAAACTTGTAGTACTGCCAATACCGTACCGGCCAGCAGGGATCATAATTTACTAGAGGGGGGAGCTTCACATCAAAAACTCATATTCCATGCGTGTCTGAAATTGGAAAATGTCACCCCAGGATTTTTTGACAACTTCATTTTTACTTCATATCACTGCTAAATGTGTACCTGAAAGAACCCCTGATGGTCAGCTGGTCTCGTCAATACACAGGTCCAAGCCAGCGTACTCAGTGAAATAGTTTGTATTGTTGATGGTAGTCTTGTAGATGTAGTCAAACTTGTAAGCCATATTGCCACCATTGGGGGATCCATGGTAGGGCCTTTCCAAATCGTTTTTGCATAGCTTCAAGAAGTTTTTTTTAAATACCATGCCACCTGGTACAAGTCATTGTGTTTCCAATCTCCTCAATGAATGAGAGATCTTTTGCATTCCATCTAGTAGACTTGATGTTTTCACTAGCCCCTTTGCAAACACCATGCATAAATAGGATGCCATTGAACTGAACTGCTTCAGGAAGTGTGACTGGCGTGATTTGATTCCCTTCCCCTTCATTGACATCAGAGATATACACATTTCTATATCTCATCACATTGTTGTAATAAGTTAGCTTCTTTTCTGGTTCAGTTTGGTAGCGCTGAGCTTCCCTTGAATCTGGAGCAATAGGGAGCAGCAACTGATAGAAAAAGAACTCATCTCCATTTTCAATCCTGTCTTTCATCAATCCATGTTGCTGTAACTTGAAGATATCCAGTTTACCCTTCCTCTCCTCTGGAAACATGTTATCCCTACTAGCATACTTCCTTGCAAACTGGTTGTTAGGGTCATCAACTGTACCGCCCCATCCAGCAAGGTAATGAAAGTTCCATCCATTCTGCTCTCTGATAGGTTCTTTGCCAAGACCAGTTAGGTGTTTAGGAATTTCCACAGGCTTGCACTCAGAAGGAAGAAAGTGACCTTTGTACTGTCCTGTTCCTGCTTTGAAAATTGGGTCTGTAGTATTAAGGGTGGCTGGTGACTGTCTTCAACAATGTTCTCATCACTTGAACTATCATCCTCAAACAAAGTTTCCATGTCTGATTGTAACTCAAAGGCTGCTTCAAATGCTGCTGATTGGGACTCCACAAAGGCCTTCATTGTTGTTGTTGTTGTTGTTGTTGTTGTTGTTGTTGTTGTTGTTGTTGTTGTTGTTGTTGTTGTTGTTGTTGTTGTTGTTGTTGTTGATCCCTTGAGTTGTTGATCCCTTGAGTTGTTGAGTTGTTGCTGTAGCTGGCATCGATTGCTGATTAGTGTTGCTGATTCTGTTGTAGATAGGAGTAGTATTGTTGGGGGGAAACTGTTGCTGATTAGTACTGCTGATTAGCGTTTGGGAGTGATGCTGATTAGTGTCCCTGAAGGGGAGGTGTTTATATATTGGTTGTTGGAATGAGAAGTGCTTCCACTGGGATAATGGTACCTTCACGTCACACAAACCGGTACTATGGTACGTTGTTTTTCTTGGGTACATAAATTAAAATTCGCTAATGTATTTTGTGATGCTTGCACGCAATTATCTGGCCATTTTCCTTGGAACATGTTCTCGTACCACTCATTTCTCATGTGGAGTTTGATGCCCTTTCTCATGCTCGAAATAAATTCTTTTTCATAGAAAATATTATCGTATTTGGAGACAAATTGTCTCAACCATTCAAAAAGTATCTCAACCATTCAAAAAGTACCATGTGTCATCATGAAAATATTTTTGCTACTTCATCAATTCTTCAGGTCGGTTTCAAATTCCTCTTTCCTTATGCCAACTCTTCGGCGCCCAGCAACAATTTCCCTATTTCTGTCGACAAATTTATTTCACAATGAAGCTATTTTACTATCTAACCACAAGGGATTAATTTCTAAATGTTCCGTGCCGCTATTGTTGTTATTTTTGTATCCACTACGTTTCGTTACTATGATTACTAACGCCGGGGTTCTCATACAGCCCATATCTTTGACTTCAGCTCATTTACGTCATTATTGTCCTCCCAGTATTTTTTCTGATCGAAATTTTTCTCCATTTCGCGCAACTTTCTTTTTTTATTAAGTCTATCGTCCCTGTCGTCTCCGTTTTCTCTTCTGTATGCCACCCTTAGTTCTTGTTCAATCTCCGCTGAAGCCTCTTCC